ATAATTCAGGAAGTGGAGTGAAATAAAGAGTTTGCAGCTTACAGAGAAACCGTATGCGTTGAATCAATGTAAGTAACTCCGCAAAAGTGAAACCCTTCGTTTAAATACTTCTACTTAAAAACTGGCGTATAGCGCCAAGAAATAAATATGAGCCAACCCTACATGAAATACGGTAAAGGGATTATGAATGTATTATCGACTAAATGAGTTGCAACAAAACTTTAATATCTTTGTGATGCAAATGGTGGGTGGACGTGACTAATAATATAGCTGAGGAAAGAAGTTAGCCGTGATAAATGGCAATCACATAGAGGATAAAACTGATCCCTCCATAAAAGAGTTGTATCTGTCAAGTGTAATACGCTTTGATTTTCATAAATAGTGATATTTGCAAGAAAGTTTACGCAATGGTGAACGATGCGTATTGAATGATATTTTGGGTGTTATGATGCATGTATTCTTATCGAAGTTTCTATGTTTCAAAAGGTATTTGCATTGTGTAGCAAGAAGTAAATTGAGTTTCCTCTTATCGCAGTGTGTGTCACCTCAAAATAAGTTATGGCTTCCAAACAAATTTCATAAATCGGAAACAATATTAAGCGAATTTTACCAAAATTAAATATCAAAGAACAGCTGAATGTGTCATTAACGCCAATATCATTAATTGGTCACACTCCAAAAGCACTTCATTCACATTTCAAGAGCGAAATCAATCTGAAATGAATATTTTGGGTTAGAGTCAATGGTTATGGCTTTTATTATCATTATTTACATAAAAAAAGGCGTTTTACTATCATCACCAAACTGCCTGAGTCGTTTACCAAAGATTTTAAAACAATCTGCTTGTGCCTATATAACAACTACATGGAGTCTAATAAATTTTGGTACAACACAGCAACTTAAACAATATGGAAGAAAAGAATCTGAATTTCAAATAGTAATAAATAGCGGTGGAAGTTATTTGATTTGATCGTCTTGAACGATTTGTGCTAGCATGGAGATACGTTGGAAATATTCTGTGACCAGCACTTTTCAATCCATCAGTTGAATCTTTTATATTGGATTACTCCCTGTTTCTGATAAATATGGATAAAAACCAATCTAATCCGAATCTGTATTAGCACATAGAGAAATTAGCAACTAATTTTTAATTGCTTCAATCCTCATTATTTTTCAATTCTTATTATTGTCACCAAAGAAAACCAATCTATTTTTGTCTTTGGTCTTTTTCCATATTTTACCGAAAAGGTTTTTGATATGCTCTAATTTTTTAGATTCCAAGCATTTCGTTCTTCGTCTTCAGTTTCATACGTTTTTTATCTCATGTGTAAGTGTGGGAAAGATACAAAGAATTTATAGCTCAACAGTTCAAGGATATAGGATAGCTGTTTTGCAAGGTTAGCACATACAGTATGGACCTTCTTTATTTTTTATTCACATTTTTTAAACGCTTTATAAGGCTCACAATTGATCAACTTCTCAGCCATTTCTGTTCATAACATCGAAGTGATTGTTGTTGATTTGTTTGCAATACTTACCGGTTATCATAAATCCTGTGATAGTACTCAACAGTTGAAATCACTGCGTAAATGGAAAGTTATGTATAACTACAAAAACTGAATGATATAGCTAATTGACATTAAAATTTCAGGTTCATTCCGACAGATTTGCATTATTATGTTTTTCTCATGAATAAATTTCTAATCATTTCTCGTAACAGTTTTCTGGTCTTTGAAAGTTTAGTTTTTACTATTTTAACTATTTGGTTCCAAATCCAACGACCATAAATTTCTCAGCTGTCCACCTATTAATGAAACTTTCTGCTTGGATTTTTTTATTACGAATGATTTTGACTCTTGAGGTCAAGTAGCCACATGGCTTTCCAAGTCCTATCGTGACCTCCCTACTCATCAACTTCTGTTGCTTGAATAGTTGATTCTTTCTTCTCTTTTGAAATGTTGATTATTATTACGGAATTATTGCATGACTCTCGCGATTTCTCCTTAACAGCAACTATTTGAATATATTTATTTCCCATCTGACCTTAAACATAAAGTAAACGGTATCGTGCTCCTTCTTACCTTCCAAGTTAAATCGCAATTTCTTTCGGCAGGAGTTTGCTTGATGACCCTTTGGTGACACTTAAAACAGAGCTACAATTTCTCAATCTTTTTCAGGCTGCTTCCTCAAGTAGCGCATTATAAACATTACCTGTCCAATGCTACCCTCTGACAATGCCTTAAGCCATATGCCTTAAGCCCTTTATCGTTCTTCGATTCGCTACCTTTTGCAACTGTCATTAAAGCAGATAATTTCACTGACATTTTGTCTAAATTTTGTGCTTTCTTCCGCTTTACTTGTTCGAAGAAATTTGTTTCTGTTACTTCAAAGGGTGAATTTACTTTCTTCCATTTCCGCTTTTAATTTGCGATTATAAATTTCAAGGAGAATTCACAATTAGTTTTTCTTTGATTGCCAATTTGACTTATGAATCATCCAAATCTTCATCCATATTTTTGAAGGATCCCAGAATTTTTTCCAGATTTTCCAGTATTCTCCGAATATTTCTATCTTGATCCACTGTTGACAGCTTCTTCCGAACCTCGTGTAGCTGACGATTTAGAGAGTCTTTAGATCTCCGAAACTATTTTTTTATGGTCGTCTGATAACTTTCCGATATCAGACCGTGAGTTTTACAATTCAAGCAAGCTAATTTAGATATCTGACGTTCTCGATTTTAGAATAGATTAATTATCTATGGTAGCTTGGAAATTATGGCAAAATTTCGGCTGTTGTGACAATCTCTCCTAAATTGAAGTAGGAAATCTTAATAACTCTTCGTGATTGAAGGTAGACTTTGACAATTGTTGACCTAGCGATTGTGGTCATTGAGTTCTAGGCGTTATAGCATATCTGTAAACTAACATTGTTCAAAGCTTCTTACCTTCTCTCCAAAACATTCAAAAAGCTGGCACTTGTACGTGACTTTATCAGGTGTTTGTTCAAATTGTTCAAATGCATTTGCAGACATATCTTGTCAACTTGATCAATTTTCTGATGCTAGCTGACAGAATAAGTCTTTGATTGCTTTCTTACTAATAATATCACCCTGTTCTGAATTCACTACTTCCTGGTCGGTGCATTAAGATGATTCTGTAATGACTTATGTTTCACAACACGAAATGAACAAATAAGCTTGTGAATCGGAAAAGTATTAAGCAAATTTCATTGAAATTCCCTAAATGGCACAAAACAATTAAACATAAATGCAACTGGTGGCTTTCAAGAAAGAGGTGAACGTCTATATCACACGTCGTCCTTTGCTTTCCCAGCCAGAAAAAAAAAATTCGGGCGCTGTCGAGAAGGTTGTCCCCTCTCCCCAAATTCTATTTTTCTTAAATATATACAAGGACCGAATTTCAGAAAGTTCGCGAACAGTTTCTCTGAGCCTGATTACCTTTACTCTTTGCAGCATTTCCGCTTTGTTATTTGAGATGAAATGGTGACAGGTTACACCTATTTTATGTTGCGCACAAGTTGTGTCAGGTTGGGAAGTGCATTTTTTAATTCTCATACGTGTAGCATCAATAGAGAAACGTGATAAAACTTGTATGTACTCATATTCTCATGAAATCCGCTTTAAGTTAATTACATTCAAAGTAGCACCACTGCGTCATATACCACGCAGAATAGTCTTGTATATATTCACTTGTCGCAACTTGTAATTATCCACAAATCAATCTCCAAATAGTATTGACTTTGCTACATAAGTGCACCATCAAATCACTCTATCTTAAATTCAGACCAGCAGTCGGATGCCTCTTTCTTTAACCTTACCTTACAACTGTTAATTAATACCAAACGGACAAGTAAATCATGCTAAGATACCTTTGAGACCAGAAATTTTCAACGTGTGTATAGTTGTGGCCGGACAATAATTATGGAATGAAGGGGGTAGTGGGTCATGGTTGTTGTTGGTCATTGTGGTGTCGTTGTAGAGGGCGGTGACGTATGACCAGGTATGATGTATGCCATAGAGTAAATGGTTCTTTGGTTCTAGCTGGAGAAGGGGTTTTCACTTAATGTGATGTAAAAAATGAGTAAACTGGGTGGGGCGATTCGATAGCATCAGGGAAAACACGAGTCGAATTGGCTTATTCGTAGGATTTGTAACACGCGTTACTTTGGTTCTTCTTCCTTCTTCATGTTTCATTGGTGCGAAGCACAAGTTTTAGAATGGCATACGCATTTTAAAAGTCTTTTAAAGAATCTTAAGAAATTCGAAGCTAGCTAGTGAAGGGATAAGATTATAGGTATCCTTAATTAAGAGGATATATTATCCTGTTATTTTTATCTTTAAGACTGTGATATCAGCCAGAAAAAAGACTTTTATGTTAAAGTCTCATTTTTGCTAGTTAATATTAAAGAAAATTCTCGGGACTCTATCCATATCAGTCTAGTTGATTTCATTTCAGGTCGGACTTTTTTTTTAGTTGGCATATTGTCTTATGAATATGTTAGCAACACTGAGGAAGTAGTTATTAAGATATTATAGATTTGGCAGAGCAAACGTTCAATAATTTTGCTCAAATGTTGACTAAACTGTTTTATTTCCCATTTCAGTGTGGTCGAGCAACACATTGTTTTGCGGGAGTAGTGGTGATCATTTTGTAATATTTCAGCAAGTATCTGCTATACAAGTATGAGATATGTATCAGCGTATATGTTGGCAATGATGGGATCCAAACATCATGTAACAGCGAATGACATTGAAAATATTCTCGGATCGGTGGGCGTCGATTGTGAACGTGTTAAAGCAGAAGAAGTTGTTAAGAAAATGCAAGGAAAAACGTTGGATGAACTGATAACTGAAGGATCAAATTATTTTGCATCAGTATCAACTTCGCCATCTATCGGTAACTCTGCTGTTGATACTTATTTGCTGTTTTGCATCATGTTTCTCTCGGGCTAAGTAATAGCTATCTATACTCCCTTGAAAACCTGAGAAAGATTTGATGAGGCTTCTTCAACTCCCATGTTGGAAAAGAGCACATATATTTGTTAACTTGGATTCCATTTAAATTGGGATTCATTGCGGACAAGTGAAAAATTTATTATTCATAAAATAATATTGTTCATGGAATTTTTAGCTTTTATATATTGAAAATGTAATAAATTCAGAAGATCTTCACACGGCCAATTTTTCCAAATGATTCTCTTTTCTGTGAATTCTGAAATTTATTTTAATGAACTTAAGTCATAATGAAGAAAATTTTGGTATGGTGTCGTTCTTTTACGGATTGTCTCGGTATAATTAACTGGATTTTTAAGTGCGTCTTATCTTTAAAAATTTGAATAGCATTATATTTTGACTTTTGTTGATATCATTTTATCAGGTGTTACACCCGTTGCTACTGTTGCTGCTTCCTCTACCGATACTAAAGATGCTGTCACAGCTTTACCAGTGGAGAAACAGGGAAGGAAAGAGAAAGAGGAAGAGTCTGATGAAGATTTGGGCTTCGGGCTTTTTGATTGATTTCTTTCCGTTATTCTTGTTTTGTTATTTAAAAGATTGTTATTTGATGAAGTAAAAAACTTTATGAACTATTTTTGTGGCTTACGGCAAGGCATAACACTTGACAATTTTAACAATCAAACAAAAACCGTGGTACTAGTATTTATTTGTACCACAGATACGTGCTGAATTTGTAATTCACGAGTCTGAATTTGCTGTTCAAGTATATCAATCTTATCAGTTCCCATGTATGGTTAGAACTTCGGGATAGGGGAAAATAGCCATTACGTTTTGTAGTGCTTGCAGTGCGACGAGGTGGAGCTGTTTTGTTTTTGATATGATTAAATTCAGTTCAAATGGACTTCAGAAAAGCTTATCTAAGTTTTTGGGTGTTGCGTGAAGTTCAAGTTTGAACATGGAATTGGATATGTTTGGTATAAACCAAAGGAAGGGTGATGTGAGTGGATGGATATGTTTATTAAACTAACAGTACAGTTTAAAGTCAGGAGTTACTACCGTGATTTCCAGCGTAATGTTCTTGATTGTCTATGTCGCGCGTGCCCAGGTTAATTTTGGGAATTTTACGTTTCAACTTGGCGAAATTCGTGATTGAATGTTGAAAATTACCTCCAAATTGCTCTGTAATCAAAGCGATAATGGATTTGGTAGTCAGTTAGTTATAATGCTGATATCTAAATTTTATCGCGTGATTTGAGTAGCACGAGAAATATTGACATCCGGCTGGCATTCTAATGAAGAAGGAATAGTGCGAGTGTGGGTGTCGATAGTGGTAATGTTGTGATTTAGGAGATCACAGTTTCTTGCATTAATTCATGTCGCTTTGTTTATTATCTATTGGTTTACTGCACTGTTTAATGAAATGCTTAAGAAATACGCAGATTATAGCTGGATTGAAAGAAGTATGGAATAACAGAGAAATGAGAGGATCGGTACTGGCTATGCTAAAATTGCAAGCAGCGATCGCCGTCACCAAGGAGTGAAGGATGCTGGAAAAAAGAAGACACTTGGGAGGAAGTTAGCGAGATCGTCGTCATCTCTCTCAAGAGGGAGAGCGTCGCTGGTTAATTAAAGAAGGCCTCATGGCTACTTGGCTAGTGCTTGTGCTGCTGCCGTCGCTTTGGTTTGAAGGGAAAAGAATAGTGGTGAATGAGGAAAGAGGTATCTGAATGAGTGGCTAGCTGCAGTCCTGGTTAGCACAGATAAGTTACCTTGGCACGAGGTATAAACGTAGGCTTGCAGCGCAACAACAGCTGAGGAAAAGGGACGAGAAGGGTGCTGCTACTTCAGCATACTTGCAGGGATATTGCAGACATGCCACCCCACCGAGAGTGGAATCGAGTTTTACGCGTTGATAAGGAGAGCTCATCTTAGCTTTATGCTAGAAGTGCTGCTGCTACTACAACTGCTGCTGCTGCTGCTGCGGTCTTCATTGCTACTATTACTTCTGATCGTGCTGTTCCTTCACAAATCAATAGTCAAGGGGGAGAGTTTGTGTTGCATCGTTGGGTAAGCTCGTTGATGGAAGAAACTGTTCCTCGAGAACAAATGAACTAGCCCCTTCTACATGTCGGGTAAGAGTATCTATCTCTTTTTACATCCTATTTCACTACTTTCTTACATCTAATATTATATACCTTCACTAATATCAATATTGATATCGCTCGTTATTAATTTCATCTCTCAATACTCGCATTCGCAACAAAATGGAAAAATGCTCCTTAATTTATTCATTCTGTATCGATAGGAATATTTGTTAACTAAACTGCGTGGCATCATTCAATCCTCCATTGCTACAAATTAATCCATTTCATCTTTTTTTACACTTTTGTTTTCTAAACTGCCTATAAAAAGCACATTTTTTCGATTTTTTTTTTCATGATTGGCAAGCGAGATCGGAATGTAAGCCGGTATAGCATTGAAGCATTATATTATTATCCGGAAATCTGTCCAGTTTCAAGTCATTTATTAATTTGATATCTCAGGATTTGCTTAAGAATACTTCTCTTATTCATCTATTGCATAAATCAACCTTCTTCATATTAGCAATGAAAAATTCATTTCATCGATTATTTTTGGGATTGTTTTCTTTTTTTTTCATTGGAAATGGACTTTGCGAATCCTGAGCTTTGAATTTTTGATTGCAAATAAATTGTGATTGCTTTTTCCCAGACTTCAATTATTCTTAATTGTTCTGGATTTGGCCGCGGAAATCCAGAATTTTGCTATTCATAAGGGTATGTGTGTCAACAGCTAGGAGATCACCACTGTCATCAATAAATCCTTATCTCCTAACTATTCCAAATCATCATCGAAATATGGAGGCATCTCATTTCTCGCTTTATTAACAAAATAGGAAACTGTTAATCCTTCTTTATCAGGTAAAGCATAACATCCACTAATATCGATATTACGGCGATCGGTTTGAAATAAATTATAGATATTGATTTTTTTAAGCCTTTATATACATATAAGAAAAATATGCGGAAAAACTATATATATATATATATATACGGACTTTATTGAGAAAATGTTTTTCATAATTTTTTAATTTTCGAATGAGTTTAGGACATCAAATTTCTCTGTTTGAATTATAATGATTAAAAAAAATCTGTAAGTTTCAATAATTTTTTTTAAAGAGTGGGAGACAAAGGGAGAAGGAAGTGAATTATAATATTTCATTAGAATTTTCATTCAACAAAAGCAATGTTAAAAAAAAAGACAACTCAGTATGGAACAGAATTTTCGGTAATTAGGAAGCTTATGGTTCCGGTCAACTTAACTAGGCATCTTCCTCAAAGGAATTCAATGATTCAGTCTTTTTCAACTGCTCATCCTCTGCCCACATACATTATTTGAAAAGTATACATGGATTATAATTTCATATGAAAAAAAGATCTTGATGTGTTTGTTAGAAAAAGCTCTTTCTAACTTTATTACCTTTGTAGAATTTCGTTTCTTCTCAAAAGCATATTGTTTTAAAAAAAAAAAGCATTTATAAGTTGCAATTATGATTAAATGAAATTGAAAAAATATTCAAGTTTACGAGTTTCCAAATAATGTGTCACTTGGGGAAAATGCTAACTTTTATTCCATTTTGTTAACCACCGTATTCAGATTCGTTTTTTAATTATCAAAACACAGTCGTTGAGTTCATCAATTGTGATAAAATACATTTTCGATTATTTCCATATCTTACGGTACTTTTTTTAATATAACCGTAATATCTTCATTTCTATCCCATTTGCAACCAAATATAATGGTTGAAATGATGTATACTCAATCAGTGTTGACAATCATTTTAATTTAGTTTATTATTAGCTTTGATAAACTCTTCTTCCTCCTTCTTTTTACTTTCCTTATCTGCCATTCTCTCTTTATCAGTGATCATTGTTTATTTGCATCCGGCATTAGCAATTCATTAATATTTTGTGCCAAGCATTTTTCGCCAATTTAGTAATTTTTATTATCAACAGGGATGAAGCGTTTGTAAATTAAAATAAAATTGAAAAGGAAGTTGAAAGTTTGCATTGAAAATTTTGTATTCTGAAAATTGTATGAACTGAAGTTATGTGTAAAGTGATTTTTTTTACATTTTAATTACCTTCGGCAAGATATGTTGCAAACTTCTGAAATACATGATTGCAAGTGAATGGCAATTCAGGAAGACTGGAAAAGTAATTTTAAATAAAAATTTAAGAATGCAGTAAAAAAATTTCGTCGTTTTACTTGAAATCAATTTTTAATTAGGAGTTTTAGGTTATTTTAAGAATATCACAAAAATTTTCATTCACTGTAATAAGAAAAAAAATCTTTGTATAGAAGAAAAAATTATTTGCATTTCATTTGTGCTACATATCGATCTCTCCAAGTTCCAGATGTGCTAATTTTCTAATAAAAAACAAAAACAAAATACGCATAAGTTCAGCTTTTTTGTTTGATATAGAAATAGAGAGAAATCGTGGTTATAATTAGTATTATGCCAAATTTATCTAATCTAAATTCAGCCACAAATCCTAACACGGAGTGAAGAAACATATTGCACTTTCTATGTGTGCTTACTAGCCTTATAAAACAATCATTAAGTAAGATATGGTCGAATTAAGAAAAAAGAAGAAAGAAAAGAAATTGAAATCCATTTTTCTTCTGTGAAAACTAAAAAATGCTGATTTTAACACTATAAAAGATTATCAAAAAGCTTTTCCTGCAACATGCATTCATCCTTCTAAGATCTTTCATTTTATTTTGGACTTTTAAAAATTGTTAAAATTGATCAAACTCTCATAACAGTTGCATTGCTGGAATCATTTGCTTCTTGGATGTGATAA